AATGTAGTCGATCCAGATCTGGCATCTCAACTTGAGTCGCTTTCTCGCCGACGTGGCGTGCTTTCTTCTGTGTTTTCGTTTAATCACCATAGATAAACTTTTCTGTCTGTCATCAGCATGGTTGATGATAGACTCCAGGAGAGCAACCCTCTACGCCTAAAAGGGGATCACGTGTTCCATTGAGATGAAGTGGAGCGACAATATCGTATCAATGGCTACATCTACTGCAGGGAAAGTTGGTTCACTGTGTCGCGCCCGAAGTTACTTCGGGTTAGAATCCATCTTGCACATATATAAATCTACTATTCGTCCGTACTTTGAATACTGCTGCCATATCTGGTCTGGTGCTCCTGCTATATATCTCGTGATTCTAAACAAAATCCAGGAAGGGCCTGTAATATAATTGATCCTGAGGTTTCGATTTCAGTCACTTTCTCATCGCCATGACTTGGCTTCCCTTTGCCTTTTCTACAAATATTTTCGCGGTAATAGTTCTGATAAGCTTTCATCCTTTTGTGTATCGACTACATGAATTTAATTATGCTATTAGGTATCACCATTATATTGTAGAACTACTGGGCTGCAACCGCATGTTCTATTCCTATAGTTTCTTCCGATTTCTTGCTTCCTTGTCACTTACAATTTTCAAAAAATTAAATGTAACGCTAATCACCATCTTCTATCTTCCTGGACTTGTTCTTTTATTGTCTTTTCTCCTCAATATTTTTTCTCATTCTCTTTCAGTCCCTGTTGCTCTTTACACCACAGTAGCATTATTGCCTTGTTTAATGTGAAAGGATTTTTTAAAAAAAAAAAAAAAAACGCCCGTGATAACATAATTTGTTAATTGATTGATTGATTCGTTTTCTACGGTTTATCAACCCATTGTAGGTTATTTAAAGCCAGAAAATATTCTTAGATACTAAGATTTTTTTTAATAATCGCTTAATGATCGTCTTACTAATTAACCCACACCTTAGGGGAGAATAGGTGTATTCATACTTTTCCTAAAGGTAATTGCGCGTAAGTTGGGTGGAATTGGAACTTGACTCTCCGATTAACAACTCCCAGCCATTATCTATTGTTCCACCCTCACATCTAAGCTTAACAACACCTGGTATTCCCATGCGGTAACCCTTTTAGGTACTGACCAGGTTCGATGTTACTTAACTTCGGTGATCGTACGGTATTTCAATGTGATGTTGTCGTAGAATCAGATATTTTGTTAAGATATCTGGCGAAGGAAAAGAACGCAGGGAGAAGTCGTTTCATGCTTTTTCAAAGCGATAGACAAGTTTTCATCAACGGCCTCAGTCGAAATTCCAGTTTGGTTCGTCGAGTCCGAATTTTATGCTGGTAACTGCAATTTTCCTGCTCAAATATCCATGGTGAATAAATAACAATTTTTCCGTGAGAAGTCACAGACAAGGGTGAACGGCTTCTTGATAAAAAATCTTTTAAGTTTTATTTTTACTTCTGGGATTATTTCATTCTGTTATAAATCCCAATACAGATGGGAACTGCCGAATTCAAAATAACTCAAGTGGAATTCTTATATATAATCGATTGCTAAAGATGCTGAAAAATAGTCTGCTCATTCTACCACTCTAGGAAGTACCTGATTCCTTCTGCCATTAGAAAAGAAATAAAGTACTTCTGCCATATATATTCTGGAGCTGCTCAGTCCTCATTTCACAGACTTGATAAAGTTCAGAATCATTTAAGCAGTCTTGACATTTTCCATCCTACAGCCTCTTTCCCCAAACACACAATGTCGTAAGCCTATCGTTATTCTATCGCTATTGGCATGTCAATTTTTCAGGTGAGCTCCATTCTTTACTTCCACCAGTTCAGACATTTACAGGTAGAACATGCTGTTCTATATCCAAGGAGACGTTTCACCTTCGTTTCCTCCTTGTTCCAAATGTAAGAAAGAGGTTCGATTCAGTCAGAAATGCCACTCTGTAGAACTGACTCCTACGGGAGTGCTTTCCGAATCACTATAATCTTACATCTTCAAATCCAGAGTCAATTGTTATCTACCCTCTTTATCTGCATAATCTTCACTTCCTACCACCTTCTTTTTTATTCATATCAAACACATCATTTATCATCACATTTTAATAGTAGCCCTCTACCTCGAGTGGCTCTCGAGCCTTGTATTGGGTAAATTTTAGTATGAAATTCGTTTAATTGTTCTGTTGATACTTTTCATATAAAACACAATCAATGTGTGCGTTGGTAGCAAGTATATTTTGGTTCCGTCTAACAACGATTAGTTTCTTCGAATGCTTGTAAAATCTGCGATATGCAAGCGTAGAACTATCTCATTTGTAAATCTAATTGGATGCTTCCTTTTACCGTATTTTGTTACCATACAGTTAAATACAGACACCAGACATTTTTTCTATTGATGGGAAACTATTTTTTATAGGGAACTTAATAAGATCCTGACAATGTTTCAGTAACAAAAAAAAAAAAACACGTATTCTCGAAGTTTTGCTACAAGTAAAGAATTCCCAAGAATCCGCATCGACACTCTTGGATTGGCATTTACTTTGATCAGTTCTCGGGACACCGGGCGGCCATGCTACTGTTTCTTTTACAATGCATCGACCTTGGAGAGCGTCTTTACTAATTGGGCATCCTGAACCTGGTCAACAGGTATAGAAATCTTCATTTTACCAAAGTTGCCAAGATCGGAGTACTGCCGATGGGCCACAATTCTCCGAAATTACCGTCCAGCTCTTGAAGACCCAATAATTCAACCATTCTCAAACGGCTGTAACTAGACAAAAGGAACATGTTGCGCATCTCCGTGACATTGACACGGATTTTCTCTCGACCAGTCATGAGCAAACTGTGGCTCG